CGGGTGCAGCCCCGTCCTCTCACCCCAACTCCTGCTCTCCCTCTCCCCCCACCCCGGCAGGAACAGGGCTGTGATCCCACCTCGCTCCCCTCTCCTGGCACTCCAGGAATTCCACAAGCCCCTTGTCTGCAGAGCAGCATTTGATGTGATCCCCAACTTGACTCAGCCCATGGAAAACCCCCGGCTCTCCCAAGGGATCCTTGGCTCACCCGAGAGACTCGATCTCCTCCCTGCTGTCACATCCCTCACTTTGTGACTTCCTATTCCCAAATTAACAGGTCCCTCCGTGCCAGGATCCCCCTTCCCAACCCACCTCACACACCTCACTCCAACCCAGCTAAAGCAAACCTGTGGAGCAGGAATGTTGTATCCCAACATCCTCATCCCAGCAGCTTGGGGGAAACCGTGAGAAGTGAAACAAGGTTAAAAAAACCCCAACAACAACAACGACAAAAAAAAAAAAAGCCCTGTTAAAATAAATTACGTAAAGTTCTGAAATTAAACATCATTTTTCGAGGCAACTTTTCCAGAGACCTCTTGGTTTCCTTTCTTCTCTGAAGCACCTTTGAGTCGTGTGGTTGTAAGAATAACTTTAACTATAGAAGCTATAAGCATCTTTTTTTTTTTTTAAGAATCACATTTTTCGATGATTATAAAAATTTATCTATTATACAACATAGGTCCAGCTACACTGAAAAAATTACACCGCTTATTGAAATACAATTTTCGTTTTTAGAAACAGACTACTAAATAGGTCTATACAAAAAACTCTAAAATAATTTCTGTAGTAAAATAAAGAGTGTGTTAGGAGAGCTACACAAAACAAGGAGGGTTTTTTTTTTTGCCTTTCTTTATAATGCTCCAATATACCGTGATACCAGAAGCTGAAAGGAATCCGTTACATACACAGTGATACAATTAATGCTCTGTATTAATCTCACAGCCTTTCCGATTAGTACAAAGAAAACCAGGCCTGTCTCCTCTTTGAGGAGAAGTCCGGGATATAAAAGCAAGCATACCTCATCAGCTGATATGAAATTATAAAATTCCACGAGTCTCAGTGTCTGAAATTCATAAAAGTCACCGGGAGGAGGGGGGGAAAAAAGAAACCACGACCCAAGTGGGGGTTTTTTCCTCGGTCCTGTCGGTCCCCGGGTTCGGAAACGGGCGCCGACCAAAAACGGGTGTTTGTTTTTCCTCGGTGATGCCGGGGAAGGTGGGGAGCTGAGCCAGAGACCCCCCGTGCCCCCCGTACCTCGGGGGCCGTCAGTGGTGCTGGGCCGGGCTGTTCTTCTCGGCCAGGTGCCGCAGGAAGGGCTCCTCGCTCTGCCCGCGGTGGTTCAGGGGCTCGCTCTTGAACAGGGCCGGGGGGGGAGGCAGGTGGGGCACGGGGGGCACGGGCAGGTGGTGGGGGTGGTGGGCGTGGGGGTGCAGGTGGAGGTG